TCGCGGAGGGGCGCGCGCTCCTGCCGCGAAGCGTCCACCCACCCAAGCCGCACGCGCCCGCTCGAGAACAGGGAGCTGCCTCCGCCGTGCTGCGACTTGCGCCACAGGGAGCGGAGCGCCGCGAGCGCGCCCACCGCCGAGGACGGCCAGCCGCCGTCGCCGCCGCGCGGCACGAAAAGCAAGACGCAGAAAGGCTGCTCCCCGCCCGCCGCCCCCGCCGCGCCGCACCGCGCGCCGAAGTTTGCGGCCGAGAGGAGGGGGACGGCGGGCGCGGCGGCGGCGCGGAGGCGGGCGACGAAGTCCTCGCGCGCCGCCGCGTCTGGCCGCTCGGAGATTTCGAGGAGGAGGGGCGGGGAGCGGCCTGCAGGGAGGCGCGGGGATGGGGCCGGGGGCGGGCCAGGGAGGAGCTGCAGTCGCGAGGGAGAGGGAGGGGAGGGGAGGGGGATGCGGGGCAGGGCGGGTGTGTGTGTGTGTGAGGTCGGATGGCGGGGATCGCGCGGGGATCGTGCGGGGGTGGCGCGGCCCTTGTCGAGCGGAGAGCCCTCCTCCTCTGGCTCCGTCCACAAGGCGACCACCGGCAGCGAGCGCAGCCCGAGCGAGTGTGCGAGGCGCGCCTGCGTACAGCTTCGCCGAGCTTCGCCGAGGTTCGCCGAGGTTCGCCGATCAGCGGGCGCGTGCAAAGCGAGGGGGGGGAGGCAAGGGAGTTTGGGTGGCGGGGCGGGGCCGGCGGGGCCCGAGGGGGTGGGGGGGGGGAGGGGGGCGCGCCTCGGGGCTTGCCTCCGGCGAGGAGGAGAGGCCTCCGTCGACGTGCATCGACGAGAGGGAGAGCAGCGGCGAGAGGCGCGTCGCCAGGTGGCGCGCGAAGATCGAGTCGGCGATCGGCCGCGACGAGAAGATGACCGCGCGAGGCAGCTCCGTGCCCCGGCCCCGCTCGAGCGCGGCGGCGCGCCTTCTGCCGGCGGTCGCCTTTGCCCACGCGGGCTGCAGGAAGGAGGCGAGCGCCTGTGAACGCAGAAGGCGGTCAAGAGACGACAGAGGCCTGCATGACGGAGGCTGCGAGCAGGAGGCGAGGGCCTCGGCTGCTCGCGGCCCTTTGAGCTTCGAGATGCGGGTGCGGCTCTCGGGGAGGGACCTGTGGCGGCGGACGGCTCCATGAGACGAGACTGTGGGTGAGCGTTGGGGTGCGGGTGCTGCTCTCGGAGACAAGAGAGCGCTTGACCCACTCGTAGAGCAGGAAGTCTCTAGGAGGTGTCTGGGAAGTGTCTCGGACGAGGCACCGCTTGACCCACTCGTAGAGCAGGAAGTCTCTAGGAGGTGTCTGGGAAGTGTCTCGGACGAGGCACCGCTTGACCCACTCGTAGACCGCTTCAGCAGACAGGCTGCCGCGGTAGCTCTCCGCGTGCAGCTCCTCCCCGTCGCCTGCCGGCGGAGAGGGGGCGGGGGGCGGGGTGGGGTCAGGGGGGGCGGGGGCAGGGGTCGGCATTCGCCCCCTCTCTCCCAGCCGAGCCTGCCCCGCCGCCGCAGCTAGCTCTCTCTCTCTCTCTCTCTCTCTCTCTCTCCCTCCCTCTCTCTCTCTCTCTCTCTCTCTCTCTC